TTTGAAACCCCTTATACATGTATATTTTATTTTATAATAAAAGTTTTACTTTAATTCTGTAAATTAATCGAAAAATTACAAACATAGTTGCTTTTAAAACATACAAGTTGTATGAAAATAATGAATATAATGATCACCTAGGTATTACCATACCAGCGGGAACAGCCGTAAACATAAACCTATACGCTCTGCACAGGGATCCCAAATACTGGCCAAATCCGGATGAGTTTCAACCCGAGCGCTGGTTTGAGCCCAAACACCATCCGTACGCTTACCTGCCGTTCGGCTCCGGACCGCGAATATGTATTGACCAACGCTTTACTAGGAATAAAATGCAAATAACTTTGGCTAAGATTGTAACACAGTTTGAGTCGAGTTTGGTGCCAGGATTTCAACTGGATCATATTGTCGGCGTTCCGATTATGTCACCTAAAGAACTTCTGTGTCATTTAAAACTGAGAAAATAACATAATATCGAAATATAAATTATTGTTCTAACTTTTGTAAACTTTTGTAAAAATATAAAATTATAAAATTTTTTGTGTATAATAATAATAATTTACAAATTCGGTTCTTTTATCTAACTTAATTTTGTTTAATAAATAAATGACTGGTGTTTTTACATGTGGTTTATTTTATTAAATAATCATAAAATATAATTATACTAGGTCATAATTAACCGATTGGCAGCAATTACTAATCATTATATGATCTAAAAAATAACTCAATTCTCATGAAACTTGGTTTTAGTTGTAATTCAGTAGAATGTTATCAATGATAACTTACATCATGTATGTTAACTGCGCGGGAAGTGCTTTGCTTTCTAATAACTTATTAGTAATAAGGTATTCAAATAAAGCAATAATATGAAATTATTATCACCTAAATAAATATAAGTTAAACAATATAATAAATTATGGAATTTAACATAAATTACTAACGATTAAGATTTTAATCGTAAAATAACAATAGAATGCAGTCATGTGCCGAACCGAACCAAATCTCGCTAAAAAACAATGTAAATGAATCGCAAATCAGAGGATTAATCTTTAAAGCTCTCTGTTTTTTGGTGACACAAATATTTTATGTAATAAATCGGTTTTAAAACAAACTTTTAATCTAGATTTTTAAATAACAATTAACGTTTTAAACATCATTTGTTACTTTTGTTTTGTATTTTGTAATGAGAAACATAATTCCAGCTACAGTAAATAATTAACAAAGCATTTGTTAATTCAATCCTTTGTTAATTAATTTTATTTTAATTTTTGTTATTCTGCAAAAATAATAGTAATAATAAATCTCTTTAAAAAAATAATATTTTTCAACAAAACTACACTAATTGATAAATTCCAGCTCTCATTGCGTTTGCTTACTTATGCCATAATAACAAATAGCACCGGTATGTTGCTGTTAGATTCATAGTAGTGTTTTGTTAAATAAATGTAAAATTTAAACATATGTGACATTAAGATGTTGCGTGTCTTATATGTTGCGATTTATTCATGAAAAAGCGTATATCGATTGAAAATGTGAATTAATGTAATCGTTTGTTTATTATACTTTATATTCACTTAAACGTTAATATTATGTAATATCTTTAAAATGTTAAGAATTTTTATCATTTCTTCCAAATATTTTAGTTATATTAAGAAATTGTGCATTTTCTATTTGTATGACTTTTAATTTTTAATTAAAGTGTCATAGTTTGAATATTTTATAAATAAATATTATAAAACAATAGTCCAAATGTTGACATTTAACTAAACCAAAAATATTTCATTCATTAATATATTACACGAAAATATAAATATTTTACTATTTATAATACGAATAACATTTAAAATGCTAAAATATTTTACTAATTTTTAAAAAATTCAACAATAATTTACAATTTTATTTAAAAATTTGTTAAATTTTAGAAAAATTATTAATAAATTTTAAAAAAGATTAATATTTTATCATAATAAATGTAAATATTAAATTTAGATTGTTTTCATTAAATTCAACAATATGATTTTAAAACAAAAATTCTTTAAATGCATTCTACTCTAATTATTCTACATTACTATATTATTAATACAATGTATTCATTGGAAAAATATTACAAAATATATTTATACATATACACTTTACATGTATAAAGTATAATACAGTATATAAATGTACACTATACAATACACACATGTACTAGAAATGCCCTAACAATCTATGATTCAACGTAAACTCATACAAGTTTACATAGTACAAAAGGATCTAACAACTAAGGCCTATAAGGACTATCTAGGGCAGTGTTAATATAATATTTTTATTAGAGAAGAACATGTCTGGTATGAATTAATTTTGATCAAAACTATATTTATAAGTCTATATTTATTAGTTTTTCAAATTTAAAATTCTAACATATTTTCAATGAGACTTGAATACTAGAAATATAAAATTACCATAATAAGGAACATGATATTTTCTTTAGAATATTTCTTCACAATATAATTCAACATATAATTAATTTTAAGGTAGGATTTATTTTCTTGCTATTATTAATAACAATATAACCTCTATTTTTATATTCTTTATTAAAACCTTACGAACAATGAATTATAGGAAATATTATGGAATATTTGATAGAATTTGTGCTTAACTTTAATTTTCATTACAAATCAATAAAATGCTGTCTTTTACAACATATTATTAAAAATTAATTTGAAATATAAAAGAATTTTGTATCATTCAAACAAAACAATACAACAAAATAATACTGTATTTATGAAATGCTAGCTTTTGTCCAAATACTAGCATTGAATTCTAGTTTTACATCAATTGCTAGATTAAAAGGAAGAGTCTTTACGACTAAAAATGACAATTAATTATTTAAACATTTGCTAACATTATATCTGTCCATTAAATAGAGTCTATGAGTCTACCAAGTACTTTTAAAAATGATTAGGATTACTAAAACTTTTTTATTACATAGCTTAACTATAACAATGTCCAATTCTAAAGTCAATGTCAATTATTGTCAATTCTATACAATCTTACTCAATTCACTTACTTAACTATTCAAACATATTTTAATTGATTTGTATTATAATGATGACAATGTTGGTTACATGTAATATAAATTGCATATAATAATAGCTAATTTCATGCGTTTATTTACGGAATTTGAGTACTAATGCCTAAAAGCTACTTTAATCAGTCAAATAACATATACAGTACGTTGAGATCCACTTCTCCACTTCTTCACGAGCTATAATTTTAAAGCTTTTATATTATATTATATATTATTAATATGTTTTAAAAAAGTTAAACTCTCTCTCTCTCTCTCTCTCTCTCTCTCTCTCATTCACTCACTCAACGAGTAGTACTAAAGTTAATTTATTGTATAATAAGTTATAAGACAAGAATGTATTTACTTTTATGAATTACATTTGATAGCAATTTATATTATATATTTAAAACAATATTTTAATATTTAACTTAATAAATCAGTCAATGTGTTTGAAAATAAAAATATTTCAATAAAACAAGCATTGTTAAAAAAATTGTCAGCAGATTTTTAAATTTAATACTAAAATATCAATGTCAGTTATAATTGTATGCACTTATACACCATATTTGCATAAATATTCAATATATCCTAAAAAATTTCTATACATTATGTATTTAATTAGCGATAATTATAATAATTGTTTTCTTTTTCTAATCTATTAATGCAAATATAAACTCCAGTCAAATCAGGTTATAATAAAAGGCAACGAGAATATTGAAGGCAGACATGAATCTAACGGAAATTTAAATTTAAAATTGATGCTAAAAACGAAAAGTGCACTAATGTAGCAAATAAAATGTACAAGATAAAAAATAACATCTAGATTCTTAAGCACCGCAAAAAACAACAACAAATATTTGCATAAATAAATAAATAAGCGATAATTGAATATTAAATGTCAAGTGAGAGACATAAACAATTATATACATGTATATACTGTATGTGCAAAATAAAAGTACATAAAATTTATAAGTTATAAAACAATCGGCGATAATATTATGGTTATTATGCGTGCAATTCAAAAACATTACACAAGAATTTTTTTGTCGCGGATTTAAATTTGTGACAATTTTTGCGCACCTATTCTGTAGCGCAAACTCCGGTCTCTTAATGCATACAAAGCACTTGTGTTTGTCTCCCAAATGATAGACTACTGGAGATTTTAAGGGATCAATATAGCCATCCATGTCTATACGCTTATCTCTTGGCTCTCTTTCACCCTCTCTTTCGCTCTCTCCCACTCTTTTTCCCCATTGAAACCCACTATTGACTAACTGTGTAATCAGTTTTTCAAATCAAATATTTTTAACAATTTTTTTATTCTCTGTTTCATTATTTGGTGAATTCTGTTCGTTATTGAAATCAATTAAATTCATTGTATGTCAAGTATTGGACAACTCTTAATACGTTCAGTAATTTTATTATCACTTGTGATTATATAAATTCTCAATGTTTCACAATCTAAATAAATAAAGAGTACATATTCTCAACAGAATATAATTTCAATTATTGAGCAGTCAATCAATTTCGCTAAAGAATCGATTCAATAAAACGATGGTCTGATTAAAGGCTGTTGTATTGACTGGAGAACCAGTAATTATTATTGTTTATTATTATTATCTTATATATTAACTCATATATGAATATTACTTATGTTTATCCCATAAACTAATATAAGGTAATCCGATAATGAATGTGACACTTGTGCCGATACTAAATGATTTGGTCGGTTATCAATTGAATAGCAACTGTTCCGCAAACAACATGTCTTCGATGAACACAACAATTCAGAGCTTGTATTCGAGCGCTTCGGCGTTCAACTCATCATTCAATGGCCAGAACTGTAACGAGTCGTACGAATCGGGTGGAGAGCTTCCGGTGGCCGTCGGTTATCCCGTATTAGTGCTAGAATTCGCCAAAATTCTGTACGGAATCGTATTCCTCGTCGGACTGTTTGGCAACTCTTTGGTCATATATGTTGTGTTGCGGTTTTCAAAGATGCAAACCGTCACCAATATGTATATATTCAATCTGGCGCTGGCCGATGAAATGTTCTTGGTCGGTCTACCATTCCTCATCACTACCGTTATATACAAATACTGGTCGTTCGGACGCCATATGTGCAAAGTCTATATGACCACCACATCCATCAATCAGTTCACAAGCAGTCTATTGCTGACAGTCATGAGCGCCGACCGGTATGTGGCCGTCTGTCACCCCATCTCATCGCCCAGATATCGGACACCATTTATCGCCAAATTTATTTGTTTAACCGTTTGGACCGTAAGTTACCATTTTGTTATTTATTTAACGTACTTATCATATTGATTACAAATTCATTCATAATGTAATACAAATATATTCATTAATACAGAATTTTGATAAATTAAATACATTTCATAATATATTCAATTAAATAAATAAAAGAAGAAATTGACAGAAAAATTCATATAAATACGTGTATATAAAGCCAAATATATTATGCTTTTGCCAAAAGTCAATATTATAAATATTTATTCAACACATAAAGTGTTCTCTATATTATTGATAATATATTGAGTTCTCAATAATTATAACCGCATATATAAAAAGAGTTCACTAAAAGTGCTGCAAAAATATTATTATACACTATCTGTGTATTAAAGGCAAAGCACTCGTACTTTTTTTTTATCTCGCAAATAACATCCGTTTATTTTGATTAAAATATTTTCATTAATACACAAATGGGATTGTATTCTGTTTTTTGTCATGAAATTTAAATTGCCCATGATAAATGAAGATAATGAATTCTTACATTTCTTGCCATTAATTATATTATTAATTGAAATTTTAATTATTTTTATAATTCAAATTTTATATACAAAACAGATGTTATAAAAGAGCTCTCGTTTATAGTAAAGTATTATATATCTATTCAAAGATATACACAATTAATGGTAAAAGTAATTTAAAGTCACTTTTGGGTATTTTGTAATTTTTACAAATATAGACATTTTGTGGCAGAAAAAGAAAATATTATATTATATTTCCAAATAAATTAATTTATGCCTTCAATGCCTACACAAATAAAGTTATATCAAACAATGCAAACAAATACTGAGAAATAATTGGATTTATTCAGTCTTTCTGTTAAATGAAATCTAATTCTAAAGGATTCAGACCTACATTACAGGAGAAGTACAAACCAAACACCGATTCCTATTTCAAAACAACAGTAGAAACAACTAAGAAATCCGATAGTAATTAAAATTAACACAA